GTAATCGAAGTTTTATTCTGGTCAATTCATTTAACAAATTTTTAGATTTACTTAATTTGTTTATTACTACTCTGATGATTACTGCAAAATGTCTAAACACGTTGATTTTATCAAAAGAAAAAAGTTTGAACACGTTGATCTTATCAAAAGAAAACCATCTGGGTCAGAATATAGAAAACGGAAAGCAGAAAAATCACGACCTGAATGTGGCATCTACATCTGGAGTAGCAACGAAAGCATCAGTAGATCAGATTGCTTTTGAAGAAAATGTGGACGAAGTTTCACATTTTCTTCAAAAATGAAGAAGATAAATTGTGCTACATCTATATTATCTACTCGTGATGACTCCGTTGGCGATGTGCAACAAATACAAATTCCAGATGACTTTAGCACTGTTGTCCCAAATATATCGGATCCAGCCATATGGCCACTCATTCAAAATAGGAAAATTATTGATCATATAATATCTAATTGCCAAGTGCAAACTCAAATTGATAATTTTCCAAAGAGTGATACAGGCAGGCATTTCTTTAAATGTCATTTCACAAAAAAACTTCAAAACTGTCTCTAAGAATCGAGTTTATTGTTTTTGTTGCCGGTTATTTGATAATAGATCAACGTCAAGTTTAGTATTTAAAGAATGTAACACTTGTTTGAAATGTTGAAATTCATGAGAATAGCACTTCTCATAAGAAAAAAATTTTACCATTCATGGATCGACACTGAACTATACAAAAACAATAGACTACCAATAGCAACATTTGATTAGAAAAGAAACTACAAGGTGGAATAATGTTTTGTCTAGATTGATATATATTACACTTTATTTAGCTGAAAACAATATGGGGTTCAGCGGTACTTCCAACCAACTATATTGGTTTAATAATGGAAAGTTCTTAAGCTTAGTACAGCTATTATCGAGTTATGCAGGAGTACTTGAGGTTAGCTATGAAGGGTAATGTTTCAGACCACGACGGTAGAAAAGATATACAAAATGAATTAATAAAACTGATATCAGAAAAGATATCGTGCGCAAAGAAATTAAAGTATTATTTAACTATAACTGACTGTACTCCGGGCATTACTTATTTAGAGCAACTTTCATTGACAATACGATTTGCTAATTTATCATCAGATGACGATAAAATTTCAGTGAAAGATCATTTTATAGAATTTTTAACTGTCAATTAGTCGACTGGTGAAAGACTCACAAAAGTTATTACAGATGTTTTAAACGGACTGGAATTGAACGATTATAGAGGTCAGGGTTATAACAACGGAGCAAACATAAAAGGAAAACATATTGGGGCTCATACGAAAATTTTGGATATAAATCCCTTAGCTGTTTATGTACCGTGTGCCTGCCATAGCTACATTCTCATACAATGTGATGCCGCTATGTTGTCTTTAAAATCAGTCACTTTATTTGGGGTACTTTAGAGGTTATTCACTTATTTTCAGCTTTTATTCATCGATTGAAAATTTTAACCGATCATTTACGATTATATACCGTTAAAAAGCACAGTGACACACGTTGGGAAGCAAGAATAAACAGTGTTAAAGTCGTCTGTTATCAAATTAGTGCTATCTATGATGCTTTAAATACTTTGGCTATTGAAAATCAAAAAACTGAAAAAACTGAAAAAACCCTAACCCTGATTTCAATTTTTAGTTTCGTTGATTGTTTCATATGACATACTTTTTCAAGTGTCGTTAGTAAATTTCTAAAATCAACAGACATCACTCTTGGTAAATGCACAGAAATGTTGAAAAAATGCTGCACTTTCTTTTAACGGCATAGAAATTTACCCAAGAAACGAACCTGTGTTTAAGGCCACACCAAGAGTTCAATATATTAGGCGTCAAGCTGAAGAAACTGTCCGCGATGAGCCTATAACTTCCTCAGAAAAAAAAAATTAAAAAAAAGTTGAATTTTTTAACTGTCGTTTGGACATTAGGCTCATTGAATAAAAGATTTGATCAGTTAAGTAAGTATTTAATATATAAAACAGAAATACCTGACCTTGTCGAAATTTGAGATAATCTCCAATTGAAATTAACTGTAAAATCTAAATCAGATATAGACGGTAGTTTACTGTGCGATGAACTCTAAAGTCAGAAAGCTTTTTTGTATGAAAAGAATGTGGTTACTCCTGTTTTTGTTTTAAATTTTATTGAAGATCGCAACTTACAAGAGCTATATCTAGCTCTTGGAGAGCTAGATATAGCTCTGCTAGAGCAGCCGTTGCGCAGTGGAAGCACACTTGCCTCAGAAACAAAGGATCCGTGGTTCAAACCCCACCTCTGGGCAAGTTTAGCGACACCGGTTGGGAAGGAGGCGTGAACTTCCTATTAAACGCTCATCCGCGGTACTCTGTGATAAGACCGTAAGGACTTCTTGGAGCACCTAAAATAATAAAAAAAAAAGATATAGGTTGCTAGGAGAGAAATTTTTAAAAGCTTAAGTTAATAAAAACTAAGATCTACAAAATCCCAATCTAAGTTGACAAACTTAGCAACTTTGTCAATAAAAAATGAAATTGCTGAAAAAATCGATTTTGAAACTAATATAAATATTTACCGATAGAAAGGAAAGAAAAGTTATATTTCATTAGTTTATCTTTTTAATATATAGTTATTTATTTTACTAATTATTCAACTATAACCTTTGTCTTTTTTTTTGCATGGGGTTGAATAGGTACGCCGTAGAAATCTCCCCCAGGGCGCTGGTGTTGCTAAACCGGCACTGGATATAGGTGAGAGTGGTACTGAATAGAATGGATCATTAGAAAAATAAGAACTTAACAAGCTGTTAATTGGTTTTTTTTAAATGCATATAATTTTTGCAAACTCAAAGTTTTTATTATTTTTGGTTTAACTTTATTCGTAACAACCCAGCGGGAAAAAATGTCATAAAAAGACATAAAAATTGCGTCTTTAAGACGTCATTGTTTATTTATTATGCACTTTTTTATTTTTATTTTTTTTTATTTTATTTTTATTTTTTTTTATTTTTGTCGTTTAATATTACAATAACTAAATATATTTTACAATTTTTTACATTAGTAACGACAGGACTTCTAGAAGATCATGAGGATCTTGTCATGAAGCCCTTTACAATATATGGTTAACTTTTAATAAAAATACTATGTCTGTTGTGAAATAATAATACACCTCTATGCAAAAATATTTAAAAACCAAGATAAAATGTTAAAAAGCCAAGATAAAATTTTAAACCAAATAATATACAAAATAAAACAACAGCAAAAACAAAACAAAAAAAAAGGCAATTAAAAACAAATCAAGATATTTTTAATTAAAAATATAATTTTTTTAAGTTTCTGTTAGAATGAAGCAAAAGTTATTTGGGTTGAAAAATCAAAATTTGGTAAGACTATTTTGTTCCAGAGATAAGGACCTCGGTAAGAAACAAAAAACTGGTCTTTGCTTTTACGACAAGAAGGGGCAATAAGACTGTTATTAATTCGAAAATTATATTTGTTTTTAGGTTTCATACAATAAAAATTTTGTAATACATTTGGCGACAAATTTTCTCTACATTTAAACATGAAACATAAAATATTAAAGACATTTAGTTGATATACATTTAAAATATTCATTTCTTTAAAAAGTTGTTTCGTGTGAAAAAACCGATTTTTAAAATTTATTACGCGAGTTGCGTGTTTCTGATGAAGGTAAAGAGATTTTAGCTTTGTTCTGTGAGTGCTTCCCCATATAATATTCGCGTAGTTTATATGACAATGTATAAATGAATAATATAATTGTATTAACTGGTGTTTACTTAATATATTTCTTGCTTTATAGAGAATTCCGATGCATTTAGCAATTTTGTTGGAGGTATTATCAATATAATTTCTCCAAGATAGGTTTTCATCAATATATACTCCAAGAAATTTAGTAACTTTTTCTCTTTTTATTATTATATTATCAATTAGAAGGTCTGGCATGATATGGGGCAGTTTCTGGTATTTTAAAGGTAGATAAAAAAGTGTCCATTTAGTTTTTTCTATATTTAGAGACAATCTATTTTGTTTAAACCAAACAGAAACTTTTTTTAATTCATTTGTCATATTTGTAAAAAGCATATTAATATCTTTATGAGACAAAAACAAATTTTTGTCATCTGCAAAATTTATTGTTGTTAAATTTGATGATTTATGAAGATCATTTATGTATATTAAAAAAATAAGAGGACCAAGTATGGATCCTTGTGGAACACCACATGTTATATTCATTAATAGATGAGATATAGAATCTTTATTGTAAACAAACTGTTTACGGTTAGTAAGATAACTTTCAAACCATAATAGGGTTTTATCTTTAATACCATATGATATTAATTTTTTTAACAGGATTTGATGATTGACGGTATCAAATGCCTTGGACAAATCAATAAACACTCCTAGTGTAAAACAAGAGTCTTTAAATGAGTCAGTTATATTGCGCGTAAGTTGAAGAATGGCATGCTCGGTTGAATTATTTTTTTTGAAACCAAATTGGTTTTCGTATAGAATTTTATTTTCAACAAGATAAGAGTAGATTCGGTTGTACATTATTCTTTCTAAAATTTTTGAAAAAACTGGAAGAACTGAAATAGGGCGATAATTTGTTATATTTGTACGATCCCCTGTCTTGAAGATTGGAGTTACTTTCGCTATTTTTAGTTTATCTGGAAAAGACCCTTGTAAAAAAGTTTTTTTCTCGGGGTCGGGACAACTTTTTTGTCAAACTTATTAGTATACTATAGTATCCTATACACTATAGTATTTCTATTTTTCATATACGAAAAACTGTTTTTATTAAATGGAAATGATAATAGCTCTTCCTACAAAGTATAACAAAAAGTTTTTTCCAATACCAAGAAAAACATCTTTTTTAGATGTCAATATAAAAGAGGAAGCATTTTCTACATCTTTTATATGTTTAAACATAGGAGAATAATTTATAAATAAAAAAACAGTATTGTTCATTAAAATATTTCTTCATCTTTCTCTTTCTCCTCTGTTTCTTGAGCGAGCTCTGTTTCTTGGCGTAGTTGAATAAAATTAGCTATTTCGAGTCGAGAAATCCTTTCATACGAGCTGGCTACGACTTTTAAAAAACGAGTGAACATAAAAAACAGTCTCTTGCTTGAATGTAATACAAAATAGCAAATGAAAATGAGTTAAGTGAAACACATTAAACTTACCAATTATTAATTCAAAAAGGGCTGATCTATTTAACCTCCTCATGTTTCCAGCGCGGTCCTTTCTTTTTGAACCCACTAGGTTAGATTGGGAAAGGAGTCAAACAGTAAACAGTCTAAAAATATATAAAAATAAGTATGCTAAAGAAATTCAGTTAATACACCTCGAGAGTTGTTATTCATTGAAACTGGATAAAAGTGTTATTCAAAGCTCTGTTTCAGTCTCAAACAAAATGATGCTTTGCTTAACAACTTAAAATTATAAAAACTGGCGATATCATTAGCAACACAGATGAAATACACATAAACAAAAATGAAGACAAGAAAGCTGCAATGATGTTTACATATAAGAAAGTGTACCTTTCCAGTATCATTTTCACTTGGTCTTTTGTATCCAAACCAAAAGTTTTGCAAACAATTCTAAAGATAAATCTGTTGTCATTATGTGCATTTTTTTACTTGCTTTGTTAACGACAGACAACAAGGAAATAACAACTTTAACATAAAAGTTAAAGAGCCAATCTTTTGTCTAAATAATTTCATCATTCAACTAAATACAAACGACAAAATTATTCAGATCATTTAAAAATATATTTAAAAAAATTGCAAGCCTACTGAATGCTTCTTTTTTTCTATGGTTCATCTCTTGAACAAGTAAATACAGACAGAAATTGTTTACAGGTTTTATTTTTCGTCTGAAAATACATATTTTATGTAATAAACAACGTTTTATATGTAATAAACAACGTTCTTCAAGCACAACACATTAAAAAATTAGTCCAAAAATAAACGGTAAAACTTTTTCAAACACTTACCTGCGACTAACTTAATTGAGACTAGATCATATCGATACCATCTTATTGGCACCACGCCATCCACTTTTTTCTTCTTAATATTTTCTAGCTAAATAGCTGTAGCCCATCTGTTTTGAAACTCCATTTAAGCAAAGTGTTTTAAGATACAAAAGCACTGTATTTTAAATCAATGGTAAAAAAAATGAATTTTCAATAAAAAAACAAAGAAAAAAAAATGTAATAGATTTGGAAGTAAAATGTTTAAAGATAAACAAGTTGTCAAAGACTTTATTCTCTATTAATGTCATCTCCATTAACACATTGCGTAAGAAAAGATTCGCAGTGTCTCACGAAGTTTGAAATATCATGTTCAGTAACGTGTTTGCAACCGTCCCAGGAAAAAAAGTTCTATAGAATTTTATATAAACTTTTGAAACATATGGCCTATAATAATTCTATAGAATTTCTATAGAGTTTCTGTTAACTTCTATAAAAATTCCTTTTGATATTTTTTTTCTTCTTCTTCTTTTTTTTTTTTATAGAAAAAACAGTTTTATAGCAATTTCTATAAAAATTAATAGAAATTCTATAGAGTTTCTATAGGCCATATGTTTCAAAAGTTTATAGAAAATTCTATAGAACTTTTTTTCCCGGGGTTCCTCATTCGCTCTAACAAATCGTTATTTCCAATCGGGGCTATTTGTCCTCTTGTAGTATTCTTAATTTTCGAGAATGTTTCTTCACAAGGATTTAAAAAAGGTGAGTATCGAGGTAAAAAATGAATTTCATAATAAAACTACCATAAAAATCTAATAAAGAATGATGAAACTTAACGTTGTCAAATTTCTGAGCATTGTCTTCGTTACTTTAATTGTTAAAAGCGTTAATTTCTGAGCGTTGTCTTCGTACGTTATTCATTTTAGAGTTTTAAAAAATTGAAGAGAAAACCGGCTGAAATTGTATATTAGGAAGTTAAATTAAATGAAGCAATAAAAACAAAATTATTTATCATAATAAAGAAAAACCACCAGATTAAATGTAAAAAACCGCCAGATTAACTGCAAAAAACCACCATATTATATACATGCACACACACACGCACACACACATACACACACACACACACACACACACACACACACACGCACACACATATATATTTGTTTTATAATTTATTACATAAATTATAAAATAAACCCGCTTACCAAAAAAAGTTTATTTTTAATTAAATTTCCTATGGAAAAATGCTTCACATAAAAAAAGTTTTATAAAAGCATACTACTATAAAACTTTTTTTATGTGAAGCATTTTTTATTGAGTTAAGCGCGGTACTATCAGAGACATGGTGGGGATCGAATTTTTACAAAATATATGTTGTAAAAGTTTGATCCCCACAACGTCCCTGATAGTACCGCGTTCAACTGATTTCTCCGCGCAGCTGCCTTGTTCGTCAAAGTTCGTGTTTCGGAGTAATAGAGTTGAGTAATTTCGGAGTAATAGAGTTGAGAAAAAGTTCGGAGTAATAGAGTTTTATAACCGCAAATAAGTAGCCTCTTCATCTGTAGTAGCCTTCAAGGCCTTGAATTATCAATAAAAGAAAAAAAAAAAAAGGACCAATCAGAACGTAACAAAGATATCGTAATTACAATACCGTGGGTTAAAACTATCTTTGTTACGTACTATTGGCAAATTTCAATTTTCTTAAGCAAATAATGATTTGCTTAACAACAATTAATTAATTAACAACGAAAGTTGTTAATTAATTAATTGTTAATTAAAGTTGTTAATAAACAAATATTAATTTGTTTATTTTAATTATAATAAGCAAATTTTGATTTGCTTATTATCAACTTCAGTTGTTTTCAGGGGGAAACGTTGGTGAATTTTCTCTTCCCCCTCCCTAAAAAAAAAAAGTTCTACTGGGTGTTGTTAAACTTAAAATTTAAATGAAAATTGTTTCATTTCTTTTTTTTAAAGGTCATCTATATAAAAGACGTCTTTTTAAAGTCTTATTAAAGACGTATAACCGATTGACGTCTTTTCGACCTCTTTTTTGAAGACGTTTTTTAAAAAGACCTCTTCTCCACGTCTTTATTTAGGCTGATTATATAATGACAAAACAGGTCATAAAAAAGACGTCTTTTAGTTGTTTAAATATATCTTTTTTCCCACTGGTAATGAATTAATATTTGACCGATGATTTAGTGATAAGTAATTCAATTAAATTATCAGGAAATTTATCAATAAGTTTTATTATTTTGTAACTTACACTGTAAGTTGCATATGTAATATTCTATATATTAATTAAAAATTAGCTGTAGTGTTTTGATATATGAACAACTAAACTGTTATCAAAATTTAAAAATTATGTAGTTAATTTTAATTACTCGAGGGTGTTAAAACTGAATCACATTTATATATTTATTTGGCCTGACTTCTGGAAATTGTATTCTTGAAAATTGGAAAATTTATTTAGATAAAATGCCTAATAAAAAATAATCACTTAATAGCATTTTGTTTTCGAATCCATACCTACTCCGCTTGAAAAGTAGACTTGAAAATTAGACAATTATTAGGTGATTCCTAATAATTGTTTTCAAATTTTGGAAGATACTAATCTTCTTCATCAAGATATGGTTTATTACTAACTGGTTGAAAACACAAAAAATGATGAGCTTGATTTTTTGATTGTGCAACCACTTGAAGTTATTTTCCATGCTATTCCTTATTATCTTAGAACAATTTTAATTATTTTAGCTGATTATCTACCAGGTGGTAAATATTGGAACCCAACTGATTCAGTTGCTGAAAAAGTATCTATTGTCCCTGTTACTAAAATAGCATTAAAACGTGACTTTTTGGGTGTAATGTACGCAAGAAAAACAAATGAAAATATTTTAACATTTCAGGCTTTGAAAATGTGGTCTCAGAGTCAAACATTAGAATGGGTAAACAGTACCCAGAAAGCAAACAATATTAGCGTAACATTGGCACAATATTGGGCCAAGATATCCGATATAGCGCCAATATTGTCATGCAATATTACGCCAAAATTGCCATACCAATATTGGTAAACAATGTTGCACCAATCTTGGCATACTAATATTGGCCAATATTGGCATACCAATAATACCCAATTATTGTTTTACTTATATTGGAATGCCAATATTGGCGCAATATGACCATGGCAATAGTAACCAATATTGAAATGCCAATATTGTAGAATATTGTTTGCCAATATTAGCTTAATATTAAATTGTTAATATTGGCCAATGTTTACCTTTTTTACATATTGGTAAGCATGCGTAAGATTATGGGATATTCATGTCACACAGTTTTCTTAAATAAAAATAGTGAAATAGCCTTTTTTTAAAGTCTAATAGCATAATTTTGCGTACAGACATCCTTATGCTTTAATTTTTTACAAAACAAAAATCAGATTCTAAAATAAAAATTTTAAGTTATGAAAAAAAAAAAAAAGAAAAAGAAGAAGAGACTTTTACAGAATGAATCACAAAAAGAATTGGTTGTAATTTATTTTGAAACAGATTGTATCACGATAAAAAGTATCACGATAAAAAGTGGTAAAAGTATTGAAAGTATTAAACAAAATGGTCTAGTCGTTTTTGACACTGCTATTTGTTATCTATTAATTGAACTTCACATGGACCAATCTGGCGTTAAAGAAAAAGGTTTGACAAAGTGTTTTCTGTTATTATATCCATTTCTAAAAAAAAGGGTTGGCTTACAGTAGCACATTAATTAGAAAATCATTTTTTATTTTGATTTTTGAAGTATTATATTGGAAACGTTTCCTTTATATATCGATTGTTATGGCGCTGTTACGGAATAAATTATTGGTTAGGTAGACACAAAACCAAATTATTGTTTAATGCTAAAATATTAAAATAAAAGTTTTTGTAATCTGTGAAAAAAAGAATGTGGCAACTTTTTTTTTCTCAAACTTTAGAGTTTATCGAGTACCACGTAAATTAAACTATTTGCTGCAATGCAAACTTTGTACACTCATGTTTTATTTGCGGCAAAATCTAATCAAAATATGAATAGACTCTTTAGTTGTTATGAGGTCATTTTTTTTTTTTTAATAATTTTTGTTGAAAACATTTTTTATGTAAACAATACAACTACAATAACAATGCAACTATTTACTAAATTTTAATAATGAAAAGATTATTTATAAATATATTTATAAATAAATTTTAATAATGAAAAGATTATTTATAAATATATGCTATTAATATTTACAAGAAAAGAAAACAGGAAAAACGTAAAAGTAGAACCAATATGAAGAAGCAACGTTCATCTTTTTCCTTTATGGACAATGTTAAATAGCAGAACCAGCAAGATAGTTTTCCCCAGACATTATTTCTGCAGCAAGCTCTAATAACGTATCTGTAAATAAAAATTAGAAGAATGATAATAAACATTTGAATAAGTCTGCGTAACTTCATAGCCGTGGTAATAGATACTTTATGTAAACTGCAAACAGACAAAAAACATTTTTTGCTGAGTAAAAAGTAAGAGAATAGCAAGTATAATATTGTTTTGCAGATTTTTGTATGAAAAATATTTACACTTTAATCCATTAAATATGTTATAAATATATATGGTACAGATAAATCGGCAAGTACAATGTAATTAAATCGGATGATATGGAAAATATTACGTCTCTAATATACGTCTATGTCCTATACTATTTTTTTTTAAACAAAAATTTATGTATGAATAAAAATTAATGTGGACTAACTGCTCACAAACTTTTTGTAAGTTTACACATTTTTTAATTAAAACCAGTATAACAGGTTTCTGAACCGTATCGTGACGGTTTTATTCTTGCAAGAATTAAACTCCTTAACATAAAATCTGATTTCTGCCTTTTACAATATAATTTTTGCTAATAAAAAATTAAAACATCTGACCAATAGGGAGGTACGTTTTAAAAGGTTGAAAAACAACAATTTTGCAAACTTATTTTTCTATTCTATATTGTTATAAAAGACACTTGCAAAACGAAATTTTTAAAAAATTATAATTTCTTTAACCTTCGTAGAGGTTCGAATATTTTGTATTTCGCACATTTCAGAAAAATATTTTTTCAAAAGTTTGCAAAGCGGGACCTATGAAGGCATATCGCACCCGTTTTAAAAAAGGGACGTATGTCCATTTTTGCCAAAAATAAGAAATTTGAACAGTAAAAACTAGGGAATATCGTCCATGTTATCTCAAAGTATTAGGCTTCGATTATTTATAATTAATGAGTTATTAATAATTTTAAAAAGGTGTATATGCCATCATGTTGGAAACCATTATAGAAAAGACGTATCGGACAAATTTTTTTTTTTTGCATTTTGGAGATACAACTCTTTTCTAAAACGGGGGCGATATAGCCACAGCACGCAGTAATAAATTTTATGAAACTGCGCTTCGCTTATAACTTTTTAAGTTAAAAATAAAAAATACTGAAACTTTCTTTTAGGAAAGATTTTTTTTTATCTCTTCTGAAAGCTATTAAATTTCAACAATAGTAAAAAAACAAACAAATCGAAATTATTACTTACCCTCTATATATAAATCACAAGCAGCTATGTAATTGTCATGTCAGCCTAAATAAGTTGTTTTTTGCTATTATAAAACTGTGGCTTATGGGTGGTATTCCGTACATTAGTTGCACAAGAACTACGTAAGCATTGATTTAAACAATGTGCATAATTTACTGTAAAATATTGACATTATTGTAAAATTTTAATTAAATGACAAATGAAAACAATAAATATAAAAAAAATAGACAAAAAATTTCAAAAATAGTTTCGCAAAAGAATTTGGACTAAAAGACAATTCTACCACAAAAAATCAAAGTTAAAACATTTTTCATCAAATGACAATTATATTAATCAAAATCAAAAAATATTTTTATTAGAAAATTTTGGCAATTAAGAATTTCTTTCTAATAACTATAGAGAGAATGAAAAATAATCAAGAATAAAGCGACAGTAACTTATTAAAAAATGTTCAAAATTTTGTGAGTGTTTTGGAATTTTTGTTAGTAATCAAACAGGATTATTAGCATTATTTTTAAGATGTTGAAATATCAATCTCAATGAAGTAAAACTTTTAAAGACAAAAGTAGAAAAAATAAGAAAAATCTATAGGTAAGTGAATCAGAAATAATTCGGGAAAAAATTATAATTTAAAAACAAATAATTTAATTTGGCACATGGATACAAAAAAAAGTTTCTACTGTTAAAAAGTTTCGACTATATTTCCAAAGCACACAAATTATTGCTGTCATAAGTAGGATTTAAACACAAGTTTAAAACAAAGAGAAGTTAAATGTCAATCGGGTACAAAGAGAATTAGTTAAATGTCAATCGGGTACAAGATGTGATCAAGCATTAGCATGTCTTAAAAAAACATGGAATTGAAAGTTTTATAATTAGCACTTGTGCTAATACATTGGTTGTAATAAAGCTTGCATCAGTATTTAAAAGGAATTTTCAGATCGACCTCTGTCAAGACCTCTGTCAAGACTTTTCTATAGTAAACATTCTCAAGAACCATACATATATGCAATAAATGCGATCACTAAAATGGAAAGCAAATATATATCAATATTTTTTTTATACAAGATTTAAAGCTGTTTGGTCAATGCATTATAAAAATGTCAAAAAACAAGCAAACATGGATCAGTTGTTGAAGTTTCCCTGGTGCAAAGTCGAACGACTTTAAAAGACATGGCTAAAAAAATTTACATGTTCGCAAAAAAGCTTTGCAACTTTATACGTTCCACAGAAATGATTATAAACATCAGCATTAATACGTTATAATTTGTTAAAATAGTTCTTTACTTATCAAAGTGAAAGTCCACCTAATTTGTGAGCTCATAATCCTGATTTTTTTAAAACATGTAAAAATTTATAAAAAATTAATCTGTGTCAGTGATTGTAAGATTCAATAAATTAAGACTTTTTTGTTTTAACAAATAAAATAAAAAAATAAGTTTTAACAAATAAAATTAAAAAAAAAAAAAAGGAGGAAAAATTGCAAGAAATTTTACGAGTTTTGAAGGAACACGAAATTAATTTTTCTTTTTACCAAGTTACTGGTCCAAAAAAATATTTAATAAATTTAATAAAAAGTTCAACTTTATATAAGTAACTTTTTTAAAAAAAAAAAACAAAACATTTTTGTTTAATTTTTTGTGATCCTTGCTCCAATTAAAGACAACAATTAAAAAAAAAGGTCAAAAATGGCTTTTTTAAAAGTATTTAAACCCTAAAGGAGGTCAGGGAATATGAAATTTTTTCAAAATTTTTTTGAAAGTATTTTGTATAACAACATAGAACAATAAAGTAAAGGGATAAAGATGTTATTTTTCTGACCACTAACACCAGTTTTTTTTAGCAATTAAATTTTTTCATAGCTGAAATATCCATCTCTTTGAAAAACAATAACAAATTTTTTACTATATTATACATTCTTTTTTATTTAAAACAGTTAAATTTTGAATAAATAAAATTTTATGAGCAGATATACGTACAAGAAGATATTTTATTAAGTTATCTAAAAAATTGACAAACCTTCAATTTCATTTAACTCACAAATCACATCATTTAAACCTTCTACATTTTGACTTCCTATGATAGGATCATACCCATTGAAAGTTGTTGAAAGTATTTCTTCATTTGAACAGACATTACTAGATGTAAAGAAAAAAAAAACACTTTTAAGATCTATATAGTTAACACAAGTCTATATTGTTAATAACATATATAAAAAACCTAAATTGTTAATAACTGACTGGAAATAAAAATTATTATCAAGATATAATATCAAGACCATAAAACATATTTGCATAATAATTAGCATATAATAATATTAGTAGAAAGATTGTCATAAAAATTGTTAATGTAGATATAATTTTTGTTTTTCATTTTTTGATACTTTTTGATAAAATATTGTTTTTTTTGCACAAAAAAGAATAAAAAAGTTTATTTTAAGCTATACTATTATAACAATTTAAATTTTGTTTTAACAACTTGGAGTTGTTGCAGGGTTTATTCATTCTTATATGCGCATTTATTCATTTTTATATGCGCCTTTATTCATTCTTATATGGGTGTTTATTCATTCTTATATGCGCCTTTATTCATTTTTATATGCGTCTTAATTCATTCTTATATGCGCCTTTATTCATTTTTATATGCGTCTTAATTCATTCTTATATGCGTGTTTATGTGGGTCAACTACCCATAAAATCTTTAATATAATTTAATATAAACAATAAATTTAATATAATAAAATTTTTTTCAAATAATTTAATATAAACAATAAATACGCTTTTAAGTTTTTATATAGATATATTTAAAATACAAATTAGGTTGTTTTCATTGTTATTTATTTAAGAAATGGTTGCCGAGCCAGTGCTGGATTTTTGTAACTACGCATATGGTTGTAAAATAGAACTATATTAAACTCTGTAGTATCCATAATATTTTTAAGTTTCCTAATTACCCCATCCGTATTTCGAGGCCTTTCTCCCTGTTTGTAAGTATGTTTTAAAGAAGAAAAAAATTCTTCTATTGGATTAGGCTGTGACGTGTATGCTGGCAGATACTTAATAGCTATACCATGAGAGGTTAGTGTTTGCATAACAGAAGACTGGAATTTAATTACAAGAGTGGAATTTACAATTGTCCATAAGAATGAATAAATGCCCATATAAAAATGAATAAATGCGCATATAAGAATGAATAAAGACGCATATAAAAATGAATAAATGCGCATATAAGAATGAATAAATGCGCATATAAAAATGAATAAATGCGCATATAAGAATGAATAAAGGCGCACATAAAAATGAATAGACGAGCATGTAAGTATGAATAACCCTGTAAAATAAAATACAATTAGTATTTAGTTTAATATGTGACTTATTACATTATATTCTAGATTTTCATTCACTCGACATATATTACTTATATATTAAATCTATTAGTAACTTTTCCATTTCTTACACTTAAAAAGATGTAAAAACGATCTGAAGTTTGAAATTATTTGAGAAGAAATGAAAGAAAATACAAATATTGCTTCCTGTAAACAAAGCAGTAAACAACTAGGATATCTGCAACAAATAATCTGCAACACCACTTCCTAATCATTAAAAAAAAAATCATAAGATGTACATAGAACTATCAAGCCTACATGGATATAGCCTATTAAATGTACATAAATTCATCTATTAACAAAAATTCATTAGAAATAAGTTGTGAACAAAGCTAACTTAGAAAAAGTTTAAAAGTACTTATGCTGAGAAAAGCATAAAAGAATTTATTAAATTAATTATTTATTAAGTCAGATACACTATCATTAACATATGATTGAGCCACCATTATGGTTAAGTATGGAAGGTTATTGGGCATCTTATTTCAACCTTGTTATAACAACAGTACATATTTAGCAATAATCGATGTACTGTGTAAAAAACAACAATTAAAACTTTGTAAATTTATTTTTATGCATTTGATGCTAGATGTCAATTCTTAGTGGAATTCATTGATAACCATGTTTAAATAATCCCTTTAAACAAAAAATTCTATAAAAATAATTCAAATGAATTAGGACACTTTATGGTTTCCTAATTGAAGTAAGGAATATGTATAGAAAAGGTCGGTGTGGAGTAGATGTAAAAAGACCTGTATTTTAAGGGTCCTGATTGCTAGTCTAAATGGATGAGTGAATCAATCTTATGTGTTAACCAATCAAAAATAAAAACATTAATTTAAGATGTTATTATTTAAGGTACTTTTATTAACAAGAAATGCATTACATTTGTTGACTCAGCAAAAAGTTTAGGTGTGATACTTGACAATGAATTATCTTTAAAAAGACAAATAAATAAGATTATTAAAAATCTGCTTTAATATATTAAGCAAAATATCCAAAATAAAACAATTCTTATCGCACAAAGATTTGTGTACCATAGTATTTTCACTAATATTTACACAGCTAGATTATTGTAACTCCCTCTACTTTGGAATTGAAAAGTCAATATTAAAAAAACTGCAGTCTGTTCAAAATTGTGCAGCAAGACTGGTATTTAAAACTATAATAGAAAATCATGTAAACAACAAAAAATTTAACAAATTGGATTGGCTGAAAATTAGAAAAAGAATATATTTCAAGGTCCTTTTAATAATGCAGAAATCCTTTTAGTATTCGAGCATTATCCCACTATGGTCCTAAACTTTGGAATATATTAGCAAATAACATCCGTGACAAAAAAAAAAAACAAACTATTTATAAGAAAAAACTAAAATCTTATTTAATGATGAATGGTGAACTATTTCACCAGAAATTCTTGAATGTTAACTAAATTTCTTGAACATTAATATTAAAATTTTTTTAATAATATAATAATTTGTTATACAGCTGAGCAAGCGTTTTATCCACTATTCTGGCAAAACACAGTAGCTGTGAATAAACGTATGTATTTATTTATTTATTTTCTATTTTTAAAGCATAGAAAAAAAGTAAAAACTTATTTTAAAACTTATTTTATTCATTACTTGATTTTATTTTAAACTTTAAATCTTAATATTTATTTTAAGAAAAAAATCATTTGATTTCCAATAATTAAATTAATTTAAACAATTATTGACTATTTAAACTAAAAACACATTTAATTTTTTGTTGCTTGTTATTTCAATATTTTGAAACAACTGTTTTAATTTATTAAAACCAATAAATATTTTTGACAACTCTGCAAATATATAACAGTGACTTTTGGAGTCATAATTTAAAGAAAAGATAGCAACTTTATATTTTAGTTAACAATTTTTCTTTGTTTCTACAATCAATATTTAAAAAAAAAAACAACTTACGTTTTGATAAAGTCATTTTGAGGTACAGTTTGCTCTAAAAAATTAAAAAAATAATAAAAAATTAAAAAATAAAACCAAAAAAAACCCTTCAAATAAACAATATATTTTTCTCACTTAAGAAACCAATAAAATTTTATGGATTTGGGAAACACAAAATGTTAACCTTTTCATTGACTACAATAAATTAAATTTTATTTGGTAAGGAATTGCCCATAAATTACATAACGCAAACTTTCACAATAAACAAAACAAAAAAGATCAAAAGATAATAAAAGAAGTTAGATAAGCAGTATTAGAAGAAGTTAGATAAGCATTCTCTTAACTATATATATACATACATACATACACACACACACACACACACACACACACACAGATACAATTTTTTAAGCGAAGGCTAGGAGATGCCAACTCTGACATAACACACCCCTTACCTTGGTTGAGTAAAGACTAGAGATGGTGTCTCAATAAAAATACTCATATTGGGCAGAAGTTAAATTACTGTCTTGTAGAAGGCCACCTAGGCATATAATTAAGAGATATACAGATTCTAAATGTTGACAAGCTTCGTACTCTTTATATACCCATAGGCTGGTTTAGATGTATTTATAATACATTGTTTCTAGTTTAGGATGTTGAATGCTGGATCTTCTTGATTCAGTGCATAGGTTTTGCTTGTGTCTGTGTTTTTATGATTAGGAAACTCATTCTATTATCTTCTAATGAGGGTACAGTTCTAAAACTCAGTTTTATGGTTATGAGGCTGGCCAGTAGTCAGGTTTCCCCGAACTCTGTGAAAGCTCTCAGAGAGGCTGATACCATCAACAGCTGTAAAGTATCAGAACACTAACTGTGTCAGGTTTGGCATCGATAATGATCCTGTTTGTAGTTTTTGGTGTGCATTGTTGAGATCACATTTAGAGCCCTTTGTTATGGCTTTGGGTTTATTAATAGTGAGCAGGCAATTGCTTGGACTGTTAGATGGTACATTGAGTCAAGTTCATTAACCAATTTAAAAAATGATTAAAGTATCAAAAACTATAAAACACAAAAAACCATCATCATCACCAAGTTTGCTAAATCTATCATTTACTAATATTCGTGGTCTTCAAAGAGACTTTTCTTCTACAACTAAATAATTTTTTTTTGGTCAGAGTGTTTTTATTAACATATTTTTTTTTTCATTTATTTTTTATCAAGTAATTTATTTGGAGTTAGGTTCAGTGCGCAGATGGGTGACTAATTTAGGAACAGACGATGAAGTGTATATACATTAACTAGTTTAGCCATAGGCCAAGTGTGTATAAATTAAGTGCATTAACCATAAAAACAGTTGAGTGTACATAAACCATTTGAATGTACTAATTTATAATAATTTTTTATTTAAATAATAAATTGCCTGCTAAACTAATTTTCTTTGGGCAGGAAATCTATCAATTTAAAAATTAGATAAATTTAAACAAATTAAATCTTCTGAGATGATATAACAAATTAGATAAATCTTCTGAGATGAGCAGTTTAAAATAATACTTCTGATCTTTCTTTCAATCAAAGTGTTAAGTCGAAATGCTTTAAATCTATCTTTGCATGGCAGTTTTGATATTGAAAAAATACTTTTTTAATTTTTTATTGAATGCATTTTAAAAGCTGTATCTCCCAATTGATATGGTGGCTATGATTGAACTGCAAATTCTAAATGTGGTCTAATTTAAGTTGTTATGGCAACTTCCAAATAATTAAACCTGTGTTAAAACGTTTTTGTAAAAAGTTACGTATTGGTATATATTTATTAAACACCAAATTAAATTCTTAAATATAAATTTCACAACAATTATTTGCTGATAAGCAAGCAAATAAGTTATTTGCTTGCTTATCAGCAAATGCTTGTAGTTTATTGACTTCAAAAAATCTGAAGTTTTTCAAAATTCACTTTTGCCAAAACAAGTCTTAGTAAATCATTGTTGGATAGATCTGGATCAGTTGCAATTACATATTTACACATGTTCATAAAGTGAGCACAATCTTATGGTGTATGGCTAAAAAGTAAATCTGTTTTAAGTACAAATCACATTCTGGCTCAGCTGTGATGAGGAGTTCAAGGGTAATTTTTTTGGCTTTTCCTCATACAAATTTCAATATGTTGGAAAAGTAACAAGTTGCATAAGGTGATTAATTTTAAAGGCAGTTAAGGAATATTTTGTCGCCTATCATCTTAAAATGCTTAATTGTTGCCATTCCTCTATAATGTCCAGATCCAGATAACTGATGCAACTATAAATGGAATTACCACATACTACTGTACTGGATCAACCTAGATCTAATAATGATTAACTTGTAAATGTAAATGATTCACATAATGATGCATTGACATCATAGCTACATCCAAGTTGATATATAAACCCAATTAATACCTTATCTCAACCTATTTGTAGTAATTTGTTAACTATTTGTTAGACTGTTAATTTGTTAACTGTAAGTAATTTGTTAACTATTTGTTAAAAATGAGTAGCCTCCTCGACTGTAGTGGTCCCCTCTGGCCATGGGGAGGTGAATAATTAAAAAAAAAAATTTTAAAACCTCAGCCTTGGAATTATTTTTTTTTAAACATCTTTGCTTCCAACAAGGCAGCAAGCAACCACTAGGAAGTAACTGGAAGAGAGAAGATGAAGATTATAGAGCAAGATAACAATTGACAGACAACTTAAAAGGTTGCAAATTATATAAATCAGGAAAGCAAGATGAAGGAAGCAAATTCCGAAGAACTGATGTTCAAGAAAAAACACTAGACGAATAAGAGTTTTTGAAGCACTTAGGAACAGTCACAGAAAAAAGATGAGACCTAATTGAATGATGAGTAACACGAGAATGAATTTTAGTAGATGGCACAAGAGACGTTAGCTCTTTAGAGCAGTGCCCATTATAGTATTTGTAGAAAAGAGAAAGAAAAGCAACATTACAACGATGTGATAATGGTTGAAGGTTGGCTGCAAGAGCAGGTTCAACTATATCCATCACCACATCCCCACCACGTCCCTGGTAGTACCGCGCTCAACTCGTTTCTCCGCGCAGCGGCCTTGTTCGTCAAGGTTCGTGTTTCGGAGTTATAGAGTTGAGAGAGGGTTATAGCCATAAAATAAGTAGCCTCCTCGTCTGTAGTGGCCTTCTCGGCCTTGAGGAGGTGAAGTAAAATAAAAAAAAAAAAAAAAAAATATCTGCAATACGTTTGAGATTTATCTGAATTGAAGTTCAACACCCACTGTGAGCCCCATTAAGTAGCAGAAGTGAGATCCTTTTTAAATGCTTAAATACCCCCTCCAAATAATGAGAGAGTGTTGGCTTTTTATCATGACAAGAATAAATAGTAGTATTATCAGAGAACAATGCCACCTTAGATGTGAGAATATCTGGAAGATCATTAATGTAATTAAAAAGAGTATAAGGCCAAGGACTGAACCTTGAGAAACCCTTGAAGTTACAGAATAAGAAAAGTTTATTGAGAAGACCAGCATGCCAAACTTTATCAAAAGCTTCAGAAATGTCAAGAGCGATGGCCTTAATCTCTCCATCTATATTTAATGCAAGATAAAACCTATCGGTTATTACTGTTAGCAAATCAGCCGTAGAACGAGAATATCGAAATGCATATTTATGAACAGAAAGTAAGTTATTAGATTCAAGATAGATGAGAGATTAATGTTTATTAATTAAAGATTCAAAAACTTTGCTTATGATAGAAGGAAGACTAATGGGACGATAGTTAGATGAATCAGATTGCTTTCCAGAATTTTTAAAAATGGGAATAATAGATGCTGCTTTCCAGCAGGCTGAAAAACAAGACTCTGATAAGCATTTGTTGAATAGTTTTGAAAGGATAGACAACAGCTCCGGAGAACACTTTTGCAAGACTATAACAGGTATGTTGTCCAGGCTACAAGGTGTAGAAGAGTCTAAGCAAGAAATCACTTTAGATCCAGAAGCTGGAGCGATATGAATGTCAAGTAATGGATCAACCTGTTTGAAGCCTATATCAAATCGAACCCAACTAGTGGAATCAAGAGATGATATTGATGAAAAGTTTTTAACAAGTAATTCAGCTTTGTCTTCAGGTGACAAAGTCTGAACATAACAAAAGAAGTGAAATTACAGACCTTATTATTTAAACATTAAAGATTCTCCAGAAGTAACCAGAGTCAAATTTTTGTGATGAAATACAAGATTTCATGACCTGAGAATAGCGGGATTTCGCATTAGACAAAACTTTTTTACAAAATTGTTTATATCTTTTGATCTTGTTTTTACTTTTAAAAATAGTATTTTGATTTTTTTTCACCATTTTATTTCTTTTGATCAAAGGCACCTAAGGGTTAATGCAGAGAAACTAAGCACTGACTAGGATCTGAAATAAAACATAAGTCGAGAAGGCTTGACCTGGAATTGTCAAGAGGGAATAAAGGATTCCATGCCAGCTTGAATCCACAAAGTTATGTAAGAAGCTCATTTGTCAACAGGAAGACGAAAGATTTCTACCCAAGGGCCATCACAAAGAAAGAGGGCTTGGTCAATATGATCAGAAATAACATCAAGAAGAGTAATATCTTGAAATGAAGGAGAGCAATATAGAACAAAGAGAAATGCGATAGAGTGAAGTGGTGCTAAACGAAAGCACATAAAAGAGTAGTCTGTCGATTCAAACCTAGTTTCTCGATAAATGAGTGAATTCTTACAAATGTAAATGTCCAGGCCAAGCATGTGACTATTGGAGTCTTTACAAAATAAAGGAAGATAACCATCAACTAAGATCACAAGATGAGACATCTGAACTCAAATTAGTCTCACAAAGAGCAAGTAGGTCTGGTAAACTTTGCAAGAGATAGGACTCAACAGAAGAAAAGATATTTCTAAGACCACGAATATTAGTGAATGATAGATTTAGCGAACTTGGTGATGACAGTGGTTTTTTTGTGTTTTATAGTTTTTGGTACTTTATTCATTTATAAATTTGTTGAAGAACTTGACTCAAAGCATAGATAGTAC